TCAATAAAAACAATATTAAAACGAGGATGTTCTGTTGCCAATCACATCTTTTAAGAAAATAGTGTTCCAGAAGCTAGTATCAACCAATTAACAAACAAGCAGAATGGGATTCTACCATATAACCAATCTAGAAACATAACGTAGTTGCTTAGTGTATTCATCTGCAGCTGGATCAAGCTTCATTTTCTTTGTTTTCAGGACAGGTAACCTTGGATTGTTTAATTCTATAATCTAGAACCACTTCAACTAAAAAAATAGTATTAATGATAGTAGCACTTGCCTCTTCAGATTGCCGGTGAAGTTAAATGAGATAAAGCACAAAGGTAATAAGTGTCTTATTCATAATTGTCTACTAAATTAAAATTATGATTATTATGCCATGACCTCAAGTCATATTTCAAGCTTTATTTTTGATTGAAGTAATATTCATCCCTTTTAATACTTCTGATTTCAGCACAAGTGGGAGGCCACTGAAATTTACCCAGATTGACATTTAAGTAGCTACTTAATAATAGAAGATAATTTAGCAATTAGGTGACTTTCTGTTTAAAACATTGGAGTGAAGGTCGTTTTCATTGTGTTGTACCAACTTTTAAATGAAATCAGTCCCAAAGGCTACATCAAGCACAAGCATTTCAGAGCTGAAACACAGGACAAAGGTTTGATTTCTCCTTTAGAAGAAATATACTCAGGCAGGCAGAATACATTTTGAGTTGGGCTTAGGAAAAGAAAGAGGAAATGGATCTGGGGAGGGAAATAGAGACCATCACAAATAATGCACAGCAGTTGTGAGCACCTCCGAAGTCCTGTGAAATGGTATTTACTGCAGGGAGAGGAAATCTGAGTTGACATGTTATTTTCTGAGCTGCTTATTAATGCATTGACGGGGAGGGAATGGGAGCAGCCTTCACTCCCTTCCCCCAATTCAAAGCCAGAGTCTTGTCACCAGTTCTTGCTCGCTGTGAGCATGAGGAAACCAAGATCCTGAAAAAGCCGTTAAGAACAGCTAAAAAAGAAGAAACCTGATCTGTTCACTCCTTATATGAGCCTAGCAATGCTTATGCCTTTCGTGGGAGCATCTGAAATGAAATTTCCATTAATCTTGGGCCAGAAGAAAAGCCTTCTGTTCAGCCACCATCAATCTGTCCAAATGAAGGAGGTAGTTAACATTTTCCACCAAACTGAATCACTCTGCCTCTGGACTAGTATCACAGCTAAAGAAATTGATCAGACTCTGACTGATGACCAGACTTCAAAACATAATCTGCGTGGATGGCTCTGACTCTGCAGCTCGCCAGTTAATGGGAAAAACAGACCAATAAGTGAGGAGACCTGAGCCTTACCAAGTGCTTCACTGTAAAGAGCTTAAATGGTTCTTCTACATAGCATAGTATAGTGACTAAAATCCATCTTGCCCATGAGAAAAGGGCAGGTGGGTTAAGGAAGATTAAGATGCACCATGTGGGCCTGGAGTTAGACGGAAAGACTTACTGATACCAAGAGGTGCTCAAAATTAAAGTCAGCTACCTTTGAAATGTTTTCTAAATCATTTGATTCCTCTCAGATTGGCTTGGGCACCACTCTCTAATTTGTGGTTCCTAACAAAGAACACATGCAAGTAATTCTGCCAAGCGCTAAACATCACTTTTAAGATCTAATGAAGGTCAGTTTCCACAAGAGCCCACATCACGTTTCAGCCTGTGCTTCTCCCAAATATTTAAACTGTAAGTTTGGAAGAAATCAAGGTGACTAGATATTTGAAAATCCAATTCAACTAGCATTCATTATGAAAGCATTATGCTAAGTTTGTAGGGTGAACACATGAAAGTATGTCTACTTTATGAATTCACACAGCTTAAAATCTTAATTAGAATGACAAACTTGCAAACAACTCCAGCAGAAAACAATACTGAGGATTAAACTGGAGGAATAAGCAAATACTGTGGAATGTGACAAGGTGACTCTTCTTTTCCCTCCACCACAGCCCTGTCACCTGCTAATGATAGTCACCAAAGCCAACGACCCATGAGTTGAATCTCTGCCACCTTCCTATGACAATTCAGCACATGGCCCCTTCCTGTGGAGCCCTTAATCAGCATTTTCCCTTCAATCACTGTGCCTGCAGACTCACATTTTCACTCTGACCGGTGCAGCTTGGAAAGTTACTATCTTCAGAGAAAGTAAAATAGTGCAAATTTCCCCTTTAAAGTCTTTGCAGAAATACCTGATACGGATTCAGTAGTATTTTGCAAACCAACATATATGAAATTTTCTAATTAGCATATCATGGAATCATATACCTCATCTTTTTTCTTTCCTCTGATCTCTTCCTAGTTGTAATTAAACCAGCTGTGGCTATTTATGCTTTTTTTCATGTTTCAGGAATAGCCTTCCCCTCTTTCTATCAGAATCATTACAAAAAAATAAAGCCTTAACATTAACTTGGATGAGTCTCACCAGGATCTTATTTGAGCCGATAATTAAAATCCATTTTAATCCATGGCACATAACTAATCTAATCTAGCAGGCCACAGAGCCAAGCTATCATTGTAAATGTTCTTCCTATGCCTGAAGAAAATGACTGCAAAAGCACTCCAAATTTCTTTGCTCCAAAAGGGCTATAACATATTATATTCATAAAGAACCTCAGCAGCCTTCATTTTATGATTCCAAATCAAAGAAAGTAACCAGGAAATAATTAACATGTATCCTGCCTACGCCCAACAAGCTAAGAATTGTCCCTCTTCTACAACAGAACAACACATTCAAAAAGTGGAATCAAGACAGGAACCCAGATCTGTCTCATCATCTGACTGGTGATCAGGTCCTTGCTGATGCCCACCCTCAGGTGACCCAGAGTTCCAGGGTTCTAGCAGCAGTGGGGCCAGAGCTGCCCTCTCTCTGGTGGCCCAGGTCTGTAGTCCGACAATAGCAGTTTCGCCAAATCTGATGACTGAAAAGAGGGAGAATGTGATTCCTGCAGTATGCTCCCTGCATTTCTCTCTTTTTCATGCTTTACCCTAGCAATATCTTCTTGATTCAAATAGTTCCAAATATTCAGAGCAAAAGTGTAATTCTCCTTCCCAGGAGCAAGTACCATTTGACATGCATTGGTTTGTACCTCTTGTAGGAAGTCTCTGTGCATTTGTAACTTATATAACTTCTTTTTACATTAATATAATCATCATATTTTATTCTGTGATTTGCCTTTTCCATATAGCATATCGTGGAACTCTTTCCACATCATTTCCTGTAACTCTGGTTATTTGTGCTAAGTATCTCTTTGTACAAATGCACCATGATTTTATCAACAGCATTTACTTTGTTCCCAGTTTGTAAACCACATAGCCAAACAAATTATAAAAGTAGTAGAAGAAAAATATTAGGAGGCTTTTTTAAAGCCTGACAAAAGGAAAAGCCATCTTCAGCAAAATACAATAACTCAGAAGATAAAATAACTGGTACTATTTGTAGAATTAAAATGATAATGTTCTAAATTTAAATATTATTAAAAGGAAGAAATACTTGCAGTGTAAAGATCAAAGGAGATAAATCTGCGGAATATATAAAGAATTCCTATAAATCAATGAGAATGCAACTAATATTAAAGTGTGATGTTTTCTCTAATCTGTTTATTAGGGATTATAATACATTTCCTAATGTTGAGAATTCCTGCATTTCTAAATTAAATACACCATCATTATTTACTCTTTTACTCTTTTAGTACATTATTTTAACAAAATTAAGATGAAATTCCTTAATATGTTTAAGGATATTGAATTTAGACTTGTTCATAATATTGGAGTATCATTTATTAGAGGAAAAAAGTCTTTATTTTTTTCAACCTTTCTCTGTTATAGATGTTTGTGGATTTTGATTTTTTATTTTCTATAAGTACACATTCCAAAAGAAGAATTTAACTCTACTTTAGTCAGCATTAACAATTAAGGATTACTTGTGTTATACATTAAAAACTGGTGGCCAACTTAATGCCAATGGAATTAAATCACCATGGTGCTGAGCATGGATGTTCCACCTGAGGAAAGTAACCAGCATAAATAGAGATGTGGAGAAGGAGATGGAAGGCATTGAGGCATTGTGGGGTCCCAGTTCACCTATGTGTTGCTGTTTGAGCTGCTGGTTCTCCTGGAGAAGCTCTGATCCTCACATCAGGCATTGTTTCCTGGCTCTGGAGGGGAAGAGGTGTGCTGCTTAATCTCCAGGACAAACTGGTCATGCTGGCTTCCTGGCATGCGCTTATCGTTGGAGGAGCTTGGGGCCTTATGTCGCTGAGGATGGCTGTGGTGCTTTTCAGGATAGCCCGGGTCTTTGTTGTGAGTGTGACTTCTCAGCTCCAGCACAGAACCCTCATCCCACCAGCACAGCTCCTTCACCGCCTGTCATAGACTTTCTAGCTTCCACCGCTGACTTCTGGGCCATCCCAGCACGGATCCGTAAAAGAGAGTGGCATGAGTCCTTCTTGTGGGCTGTAGACCTCCAGTTGGACTCATGGGAGGCACTGTCATGAGTTCTGGGTTTTCATCTGGACTCATGCAGAACATGGCTATAGGATTCAGGCCTTTGGCTGAGTATTCTATGTCTTAGTGTTGTGGATAGATTTCCTGTATTTCCTTGTGTTAACTCTGAGTGACCATCATAAAATAATATTATAAATTCCATGTCCTGATTTTAATTGTTCTCCTCATATACCCTGACTACAACAACTTGAATTTAGTTGTGTCATTTTTGTTCATTTTCTATCTATACTCATCCTTGACAGTTCTGTTTGTTTCTTCAGTTTAACTTGCTTTTATTTTATTCCCTGTGTTTGACTGAATTGATCAATTTTCTTTGTTTCATTTGTTCCTCTAATGGTTTAGAAATAATGGGTCATAATAATTTTCTTAGTTTATTCTTTAACTGACACAAAAAAATGTGAAAATGGACCATATCAGTGGGATAGGATGTTAGCCAGCCCTCCTGTTGCTCAGACAGAGTACCTGATGGAAGGAGACTTCTTATAGTTCGGTCCACAGTCAACCAGCTCCAAGGCACAAATGGCATTCTGGAAGGACAAGCAGAGGAAAGTTGCTTTCGGCACGGCTCCTGAGAAACAGAGAAGGGAAGAGCTGAGAGCAAGAACACACCTTTCCAGCTCGCAGTGACAGCCCATGACCTGCCCTTTCTAACCAGGTCCAGCCGTCTACACCGTTCAGCTACTGCACTCATCAGTGCGTTTCCCCTATGACCCAGTCACCTCCCAAACACTCAAGACTTTAGGGACATAGTTTAGATCTAAACTCTAAGACGACACATATAACATTTTGATATATGTACATGCTATGTAATAATTAAGAGGTTAAGCATATTTATTTTTTATTTTTAAAGAGGGTAAAATTAAACATAACAAAAAAGATCATAAGATAACAATGTAAGAGACACAGATTTCAAAGCAAGACAATCGGAGATCTTTACTGTCTATCATATTGTCTCTTGTTTTCTTCCAAATAGTTGTCCGTATCTTCACACATAGTGAATACATACTGAACAATATAGTACTAAACTAATCAGAACAGGATGATGAAGGCATTTTAGATCTTCAAGACCAGACAATAGGGAAATCAACAATGGCTGCCATAATGTCTCTCATTCTTTTCAAAATAGCTGTCCATACCTTCATGTATGTTGAAATTAAACAACACAAAACAGACTAAAATCACTCTGAACAAAGAATAATAGTATCGCTGGATTTCACCTCATGATGCTATGGAATCAGCACTGGGTACCTTAGTGTCTCTTTTTCTTCAATGTAGCTGTTCATTTCATCCTGTATTATATAATCAAGTCTCAAAAACTTTTTAGAAGTTCCATGCATGCGTGAGTCTCTACATGTATACACTCTTTCTGTATTAGAAGGAAAGACAAAACAAAACAAAACAAATTCTTGAAAAAAAAAACACGAAACAAAAAAGACATGCAAACAACAATAGCAAAGAGCCCAGAACATTGACAATGTAGGCCTCCAAAACAAAGTGGTAGGAGCATAACTAGCATTGCTATTTTATATAATGATCTTCAAGAGTTCCTCAGATCACTATACAGTAATATGCACAATTGTTCCAATCCTATGAATGCTATTTTGTTCCAACAATTTATAGAGTTTGTAGTGCAATCATCTTAGCTATCCTAAGGGTGTTTGCATAATTTTAGACATTTTTTCTTTTTATTTTTCCTCGTTTTCCCTGAGATATTATTTTCCCCTTATCCTTTCACTGTAATTATTGTGTTTTTTGTATGTTTGTGTACTCTTACCATTTCTTACACTAGGGAGACTATATGTTATTTACACATGTGAGTTTGATTTATTTCACTTACGAGTATGGTCTCGAGTTGCATCCATTTATTTATAAATATCTCAATGTGATCATTCTTTATAGCTGAGTAGTACTCCATTGTATAAAAATACCATATCTTTTTTATTCATTCCTCAGTTGATGGGCATTTAGGTTGTTTCCAAGATCTGCTATTACAAATTGTGCTGCTATAAACATGGGTGCACATATGTCATTGTGTTATGATGTTTTCATTGTGTTATGATGTTATTCTGGAACTATGCCCAGAAGTGGGATAGCTGGGTCAAATGGGACTTCCAATCCCAGCTTTTTGATTAATCTCCAGACTGACCTCCATATTGGTTGCACCAGTCTACACTCTCACCAGCAGTGCAGGAGAGTTCCTTTTTTCCCGCAGCCGCTCCAGCACTTTTTGTTGGTAGTTTTATTGGTCCTGGCCATTCTTTCTGGAGTGAGATGGGATCTCAGTGTGGTTTTAATTTGCATTTCTCTAATGAGTAATGATGATAAACATTTTTTCATGTATTTATTTGCCATTTGTATTTCATCTGAGAACAGTGTATTCATGTCAGATACCCATTTTGGAATGGGTCTTTGAATTTTGAGGAGCATATTTATTTTTTAAACATCTATCATGTCTATATTTCTGTATTCTCTCCAGAAATAAGAAGCAATCTCCATGTTTTGTAGGGCTTATCCTCCCCATGCCATTCCATTTAGCTTTAGGTCTCAATGGCTATTTATTTTCTTTATATTATTCACCAATAATGGATTAAACTTTGGGTTTCTTAGCTCCCCATCCTACTTCTCAGGTTTAGTGTGTGTGTGTGTGTGTGTGTGTGTGTGTGTGTGTGTGTGTGTGATTTGTTAGGTTTATTTTAATTTTGATGCTATGATTGATTAGTTCTTTTTGAGATGATTAGGGTATAGTAAATTCTGAATCCCCGCATGTCTGAGAAGTCTAATGCCACAGTGAGCCCAGTCCTTCACAGGAGTCTCTCTTTGAACACTTGTGCTGTCACCAGACCATGTGCCACTATGATCCTGTGGTATCATTCCACACGGAGCTTACAGTATCTTTTAGTCTCAAAGCTAACAACTGCCTACCCTTCATGGAAATTACCTTCTCCAAATGGGTAAGAACACAGCCCCAAAGTTCAAATCTTCTCCGTTTTTCTATGTGTACGACTTCAGACAAATTGCTTAACCTCTCTGTTCCTTCATTCCCTTATTTTAAAAATAGTTTCTATGGCTTACAATTATTGCAGATTGAACGAAAGAATTCATGAAAAAATATTCCTAGAAGATTGCCTGGTACAAAGTGAATGCTTTTTTTTACAGTTTACTTTATTCATGAAATCATTTCCATTTTCTCTGGGACTGGTTAATCTTTTTTTCTCCTCGTATTGTTGACTTTCCATGAAGATCTAATATGTCTTGGTTATCTGTTTATTTCCATGACTGGAAACCAGGGTTCACCACACTGATAAGTAGAGGTGGCTGTGAGTGTTTTGTTGCATTCAGGGACTTGGTTTCCTGCACTGGGGTGTCCCCGAGTGCGTTCATGATGGCTCTTACCTCCCCTGTGTGCACTGTACTCGCTACAGGTCTTGGTTCTACTCTTTGGCTTCCATCACATCCTCACAAGCTTTGGAGCAATGAAGAGTCTTTGGCTTCCCAGCTCTCTTTTTTTTTTTAAGCCTGGAACCTCAGTCTCTCATCCTCAAAATTCTCACCAGTAAAATGAGGCTTCGGAATGAACTGTTTTTAAGAGTCCTCGGGCTCTCACAGTTTATAATTATGTGCAAAGTAATTCACTGATACCTCAAGTCTTTATTCTTGCTTCCTCAATATAGTTAAGTGTCACATATTCCAATAAAATGTGTAGAAGGAGAGCAGCTAATTTTTACCTCAGTCCCCTGTAGAACACCTCACACAAAACTTTTAATTGCAGTCAAAGTATTTTTCAAATGCTGAGTAAGAAATTAGCATGTCAGCACAGCAGGTGGAGAGGGGATTACTAAGAATAGTAGCCAGCTACCAGTTAACACCTCTTTTAGTTTGGAGCCCTGATAAAGAAATGGTTTCTGACAGAGCCTGGCAAATTTTCATCAATTAATAGAAAAAAAACTCAAATCCTGACCTTGAATCAGAACACTTTTAATAGACTTTTAAATTTTTCTCCTAGACACCAGGGGCAATCTAATGGAGCATGTGCAGTCTTGCTGATAATAATTTGCCCTCTTGTAGCTTCAAACAAGAGAGCAGGCAAATAGTTTGCCTTGGATTCCAGTCACACAGCCATTGCTTCCCAGGCCGCAGGGCTGGAATCATTTTCTATATCCTGCTATAAATACCGCTTCTCTGGTACATGTCCTGGAGTATTTTGAGGTTCTGTCCCTACCACTAATTTCCCTGTTGTTTCTTGCTTTCTGGAGACTTCATACCATCATCATCTCTACATCATAAAAGATAAAACCTGTCAATAAAGGCTGCAGCTGTGGCCATGGAAAGGGAAGAAAATCATTCTAAGTTACAGTCACTGAGATGAAAAATAACTGATTTAGAAGGATGTTACTACAGCCCAGAACGGCTGTGCCAATCACCTAGGAGGGGAGCTTGCCCACCTCTGCCGATACTGCCCCAGTGTTTACAGTGGCCAACAGTTTCATTCTCACTAATAGGAACTTTCATCAAAGGAACAGCCTGGAAAACAATCTCAGACTCCAAGCCAAACACAAGAACAACTCAACTGCCAGGCCTTTTTAGGAGACTCGGTCTACTGACCTCTTTATCCTTGGACACTTAATGAATGCCATGATTTATCATCCACCCCAGGACAGAGATACAAACAGGACTATCTTGGACAAAAGGAACATATCCTATCAGAAATCTGTGTGCTAACCAGAGAGCTGAGTCTCTATATCAGTCACTTGGCTCAGTGCATATTTTGGTTCAAGGGATTAATCACTTCTTTTTGCTGTGAGAGAAGGACAATTATTCCTCAATGTTCATGCTTCCATGTGAAGGCAGTTGAGGAGACTCCTTCCCTAGACCTTCCTACCTGTTCTGCCTTTCTCAGTATCACATGGTGAGCCCTGTGATTTACACCTGAAACATCCCCCAGAGGCCCATGTGTGACAGGTTGATTCCTGGTTTGATGCTACTGGACATTGGGGGACCCTGATAGGAGCTCTTCAGTTACCAGAGCCTTGTCCTTGAAGGGGATTGTGAAGCCCCAGCCACCCTCCTCTTTCTTGTGTTTTCCAGTCATGAGCGAGCAGTTTGGCCCTGACACACAATGCCCCCATCATGTGCTACCACAGACCCAAAGCAACACAGCCAAATGATCATGGATGTAAACTTTTAAAGTGTGATCCCAAACAAACCTTTTCTCTTCAAAAGCTGATTAGCACAGGTGTTTGTTGCAATGATCGAAATCCCACCTAGCCAGTGGCTTTTCTAACAGATGTGTTCTGCTGCCTTCCTGGATACCAGCCTACCTATGAAGAGCACTGAGCTAGTTCTTCCTCTTCTCTTGCTACCTGTAATTGGGACCTGCTCACAACTGGTTCTCTCCCTGCCTAGGCAAGTGGCCACCCACAACTGAGGTGATAAGTCCATTGAACCCAAGACAGTCTATGAGCAACCCCGTTCCCCACAAATCATAGGCCATATTCTCCAGTTAGCTTTATTGTTAAGGAGGCTGCTTGTGTGTCCCTTGGCTCTTAATTCGCAATTGGGTCTGAACTTGAAAGGAGATGTAATAGGTGTTACATGCTGACCCCTGAGACTCTCACTTTTGTAATTTCCACTGTGGGCTGGAGATAGAGGATAATAGGAATCTCAGAGATGTAAAAGAAAGAAAGCAAGAAAGCAGATGGGCACACATTTCTCATCTTTGATGGTAAAAAATATTGTTTCACTTCAAAAGTAATTTGAATATATATTTTGAAAAAGGGCTCAGTTGCACATTAATTTTCATACACACGTACACTGCATCCACATACAAGCTCACACATACAAATACTACTCTAAACATCACTGCAATCACAAAAGATCAAGCTGCTATCACTTGCTTTCACTTCGAATGTGAACATGAACTGACATTAGTAATAGAGTTAGAAATCACATTCCTAGTGAGCAGTTACCAAGAAAGAGGCATAGTTGACAAAATTTGTCTAGGTCATGTATCCATGTTATTTATGTCAGGAAGAGAGAAATTCTCAAATATCCAGTATTCCTAACTAAATATTGACTCATTTATTGATGGGCCTAAAAAGTACGTTATTCTTAAGATGTAAAAGTCATATTGGCCAGCCTCTAAGACTCCAAATTAATGCTAGATAAATCCTTCCACAATTCATATTATTTATTTTTAGTGTAACATTGCTTCAAAGGAAACAAATGAAATATAAACTATTTTCATCATATTTGTCTCAGATTATTCTGATTCTTTGTCTTGCTTTATTATTTCGTAGGGTTGGCAAGGGCAAATTAATTAGCAGCTGTTTGAATCCAGAAGACTTCTGATTTCTCCTGATAAGTTAT